CCTTTATGTGCTTTCTCATTATATTAAGATTGTAATTGCATATGGCTAGTCTTAGATATTTGTAAGAAATAGATCTAAATTAGTGATGAACAAATAGGTTTGTGGAAAGCAATTGAAACATTTTGAAACCACACATGATCTTTAAATGTTAATTTAAGTTGCTTCCCAGGAATAAGTAGGCAAAGGTTAAAAGTTCTCAAAAATGCCGTAATATCCCATGACGTTTAGGCATGTGAAAGACTGCAGTTTTCAAAAGACAGGATGCTCAGTGGTTTGTGGAACTCAAGACTTTTAAAAACAACTTCAGCCATACTCCTTTTCCTTCCACCCAAATCAGACTGTCATTAGCATATAAGGGTGACTTAGTTCAATGAAATTTCTATTTTTTTACCTATTTAGCCTTCATTCAGCATCTTTCTAAATTGCAAATATTGTGGCAAGAAGCTGAACTTCCCTGCCTTAGTTCACTGCCCCTGAACTTCTTTGCTAATTTTCAGGGACAGTAAGACATTGACCTGTTTTTTGGATATGTCCACTCATAATTGCTTAATTAATAAAACAAAGGTGGTGATAAAAATGCTACTGTTAACAGCTGTGTGTGGTACCACTGGTATTCCAGCCTTTAAGAGCACTGCTGTCATCATCTGGCCACCTTGCCATGGTGCTGTTGCCCTGCTGTTCTCTGTCACCTCCTGTCCTGCTCTGTCACAGCTGCCACTGGGCCCCACCCCAAGGGGCTGTGGTGGTGTCCTGCAGCTGCCAGCCCACACTCCAGGTTCAGCTGCAGATTTTAGCCTGTGCTCTGCTTCATGCTCTGCCTAGTTGAGCAGGTAAACTGCTGGTATAGCTGAAAGGTGAGACCTTGATGTGTATTTACTCAGTGCAAGGTGAGAATCACATGGCAGGCTGTGGGGAAAGCAGCTTGGGTCAGGTGGTGCAGAAGCCAATTCCTAGTGCTGGTTTTGGAGCCTTCTCTGAAACATTGCTGTTGTCACCAGGCAGCCTGATCCTGACAGCCCTGGTTAAGACAGACTAAGAAGCAGGATAAACCTGAGTGCAAATCCCTGCCTTGAGTCTTAAAATAAAATAATTTAATCTTTTATTTTGGTGTAAATATGTGTCATATAGTAATCATTTGAAGAAGTGCTCAGGAAACCCAATAGAAGTTCAGGTGGGCTGTCTGGGGCTGCAGTTGCTTGAGAGTTAACAAGGGGCAGCTTCTGAATCGGTCGTGGTGCTGTGAGCTTAACATTGCTCAGCACTTGACTGACCCACAGACTCATGGAGCACCAACAGCACAAAAATGGACAGATGCGACAGTCACCACAGCTGGTGGGAGCCTGACAGCCAGGACAGTCTGAACAGGGAGACTGAGAGCCCCAAACCAAGCTCTGTGTAAATGGTATCTGTCATTATCTAGTAACTGTTTTGTCCTTGGGATAACAGAGACTCCTGCATAATGTATCCATCTGTCTTTTTTACAAAGCCAAGAATTTTACTCTCCCGCTTTTATTTTCTTAAGAATACTGTTTATTTGCAGTTCAGTGTGCTTACATGCATGCCCATATAAATCAAAGGCTGTTGGTGCCTTTTTACACAACAGAAATACCCATATAAAAAGATTCTGACGTACTAAATATCTCCTAATGGTATTTGAATTATAGGTCTGGTATAAGCAAAAGTATTTGTTTCTGTTTCGTGGTGTGTTGGATTTCTTTTCCTATAAGAGAAACTATCATATTTAATTCAGATAAAGTGTTATGACATACCTTCAGTGCTCAATTGAGTCAGACAAAAAAATTTGAATATGTTCCCAAGGGAGAGCATACTTTGAAGAATACAGTGGTTTACTTTCAACACTTGTTCTTCACTGAAGATTATATTTGCTTGAAATCCAAATTGTTGGCATCTTAGTTAGCTATATACTTGTATGTGAGGACAGCAGGCCAAAAGTTCCACTGCTTCTATTTGATGGAGATAGGCTTTTTAAATTTGCAGTTTTGTATTTTATGTTTTAATTCATGTTTGTAGTAATTCAAGTTAATTCCCTTAAGGGACTTCATTACAGGATGATTTTTTTTTTTTATTGTAAACCTGTGTATTTCTATTTCTGAAATATGTAATGATATCTGAAGGAAAGACCTATTTCAGAAATCCCAGGTAAATATGTAGCAAGCACTAAAAGCAGTGAGGATCCTGATGGAGTGTGAGTGGCACAGCCTGAACACTGAAGTTCTACTTGGGATGCTGCTGGACTTGTTAAGCCTCTCTCAGTCCAGAAAATTGTTGTTGAGACATCTGTAGTTGCAGCTGGTCACACAGAGAAGAGGTGGACAGGTTAACAAAGAGTAAATGTGGGGCAGGGTTGTTAAATTACAAAGGAATGTCCTGTTGTCCTAGTGTCTTAAACATAATGTCTTAAAAGTTCCATAGAGCTCAACAAACTGCTCAAGTCTTCTTCACCTCTTTCAGAAAGCAGAGCTGTAGCTGCAGGAAGCATACACTGTAAACAGCTTGGCATTCTTTCAGCTGAAAGCACAAGGAGTAGGTGAACTGCCAGATAAAGATAATGAACAGTAATTTGCCAATTTTGTGTCCTAGCCAGCAAATTTTTCTGATATTTATCTAGGTATCCAGTCTTGATGACTATTTTGAGGATTTAGATTTGGGATGTAAGGGATTTCAGGCATTTTGGACAGAAAAATACACTTGCATGAGTCACAATTCTAAGTGTAATAAAGGAGAAAAATAGTGTAAAACATGTATTGGTACCAAAAATTGAGTTTCACAGAGTCTGGCATTAAGGTAAAAGAAGTTAGTAGTTGTTCCCTTAAAGGTTGTTTAAATTGAGGCCAAGTGAATGCATTTCATTTGTTTCTCATGGGCACTATCACAAAGCAGTGCAAGTGAGTTGGATATGCTAAATCCAGAAATGTCTCCCATCTCTCTAGAAAAGATTCCCACTCTAAAGTTATGTCAGTTCAGTTCCCTTCATGATGGTAATTTTGAACTTAACTATCCATTTAGGAAAGGAGAGGGCAAGCTAGCATTGAAGGATTTGAAATTATGTATTCTGGTCTCATGAAAATTTCATTGTTAAAATAAATAAATAAAAGCTTTCCAGAGTGAAATGCTGTGGTTATCTAAGAGGTCATATGTCTCCCTCACTCACTATCCTCATAATAAACAACTATTGATTAAATTGAGCAGCCACTTGGTCTTTAGCACTACAGGTAGGAGGTGGTTTCTGGCCAGGGCTATGCTATGGTAGGATATATTTTATGCTTGCCCTTTTTTCACCACCCTCTTTTTTATTTTTTTGTGTGTGTGTGTGCATTTTTTAAATTCACACATCATCAGATCTGTATGTGTTTATTTTTACATCTCGTGGCGATTCTTTTGTGGGCAACCATTTTTCACTAGAGACTGAGCATAAAAAATGGAGGCATATATATATATGTATATATAAGAATCAACAGATAATTGGAACTGGTTTTCTTAACGACAGTGTTTAAATTTATTCAGTGTGCTTTAGATATATGGAGTATTTTGACATGGGTTATTTTTAGAGCCATGATACCAAGCCTGGCAGATGAATATTTTATTTTAGTAAATTTTCTTCCTGTTCAATAGCACTTCACCCAGTTAAGAGTTTGTACTATTATAATAGATTCAAAAGACAAATAGCAAGCTATTGATCAAAGAACTCCTGGGAGAGATAAATCCAGCCTTAAACCTGCATAAACTGGCTTGTTGAATTTAGCTTGGCTATTTCTACTGTCCCATCGTGCTGTATTTACAGCTAAGGGTTTGGTGACAGGAGTTGAAAGTCTGTGATCTGCTTTAGCTTGGAGGATGAGATGTGCTAAATGAAACATTAAAGAGTTCTTCTGTGCTTTGTTCTGTCCTAATACAAGTTGTCAGAGGCTTTTTGTTGTCTGGGGTTTTTTGCTGGAAAAAGAATAAATTTATTTTATCATAAACTCAGTCATTTGTGAATATTTTAAACTAGAGCAAATATTTTCTGCAGTTAAGTTAAAAATAGCATGTCCTAGGGGCAGAGTAAGCATCTGTGTTAAAGTATCTGCCTATTGCTACATTTTCAGGATTTCTGTTAATGATACAAAGTCAGTTGAAATGACATCCATTACATATTTGTCCAAACAAGTGGAGAAGAAAAATAAACAGTGTGGTGCTAGAGAATCCATTAGAATTGTGTATCTCTGCCTGTCTTTCCTAATCAGAGGAGGCAATATCTATATTCTGCCCACAGTTACTTCTGTAACACATATATATCACACTGAAAAGCACTAAGACAGTGAGGTTTGCCTCCCTAATATATGTTCTTACTCATCTTTACTATTTTGTGGTTCATACATAAGCAGATAAAATTTGCATGCTCTGAAGGATACGTAATGGTTGTTAAAACAATCCTTTCTTCATGAAAAGAAGCAAAACTGGATTTCTACTGAGTAGATAACTTAATTCATTTAACATCCATAAATATTTTTGCAATAATGCAGAGAAATTTTCCAAAAGGGGAAGATAACTGTAAATGAAGTGGGTGATGTGAAAGTCTTTATTAATACTTACACTGTTAGGTTCAGCAAATGCTACTCTGCTGCGCCATAGGTTACAATTTTTCCTCCATAGATTTTTGTTTGCAGTTACTGTCAGCATACAGTTTGAGCCAGGACTATATGTTAAGGTACTAGAAATCAATATAGCATGGGATAATCTTTTTCCATACCTCGTTAGCTCTTTTGTCCTCTTGTGTCTTTGTTAACCTTTGTTTTCCAGGTATCTTGTAAATTTCTTTCTGTACAGGCCCATTACAACACAAATTTGAAATGGCAGTTACAAAATACCGTATTTTATCATTACATTTCATTAATATTTTAATAATTAATAAAATCCAGCTTTTTTATTTAAAACATCTATACTAGGAGTGAAAGGGTCTCCAGTGGTAGTAAATTTTGTCAACTGCTTGTCTCTCGTAGTTTTGGACATGGCTCGACACGTTCCCCTGTACCGAGCTCTGCTAGAATTGCTCCGTGCTATTGCCTCTTGCACATCGATGGTGCCGTTACTGCTTCCTCTGTCAGGAGAAAGCAGCGAAGAGGAGGAAGAGCAGCTGGAGTCACAAGCTTCTGTTGGGACCTTGTTGGCTAAAATGAAGACCTGTGTAGATACCTACACCAACCGACTGAGGTAAGCACTTTTATCAGCCCTGTCCTTCGTTTAAACTGTATTGTGTGCTTGTGCTTTAGGAATGGTACTCCCTAATTTAGTGCTCCCACTGAGACACTCCAAAGCACACTGATCCTTGCTGGCTCCTACGTTCCCTCCCGCTGTGGCAGGCTGGAGAGGAGAATTGGAGGCACAAAAGGTAAAAATCATGGGTTGAGATAAGAACAATTTACTGGAAGCAGCAATAAGGTAAGAGAACAAACATCAACAGTATTATTAACAAAAGTGTACAAAAGAGATAGTGAGTCACATGCAGAAATGCTTACCATGGAGCTCAACCCAACTGCAGCTATACCACCCTGACCCCTCCCTCCAGCTCAGAACAGGCATTATCCAGCTGCTCCCTCCAGTGTGGAACTGGCACCACCCAACTGATCCCTCCACTACACTTGACCAGAAGGAACCCCTTCTTCCCAGAGAAGACCCTTTCCCCTGCCCCAGCAATGGTCTGAGGTGGTATAGAATAACCTTTGGGTCCTGGTCATGTCCTCTCCTGGATACTGCAAAAATTAGCCCTGTTCTGGCTGGAACAGGACATGTGCTTTTACTTATTATGAATATTGAAGTGAAGGAAAATTGAGTTCTGTATATTTCTCTGAATGGATGCTGCCATCCAGAGTGAGAATGTACCATCTGTTTGATCTAGATTTGTATTTGTATGTATCTCTCTGGTTTACTGCTCTATTTACAGGAAATGGTTTTGGTATGACAGACATAAGCTGGTATATTTGCATACTCTTGTAATTTCATTGGTAACTATCAGTGTTGCAATACAAGTGTTCATTTCTTTGTTTTAATAATTTTCTGATTCTAGTAATTAGTTGGTTTCTTGATTCTGTTAACTTGCTTCTAATTTAAATACCGTGTCTTAAGAAATAATAGCTTGTCCTTCTCTGCAAAATTTATGCCCTAAGCATGTGCCGAAACATCATGGGAAGAAGATAAATAAAATGGCAGGAAGAGGTGTGAATGTTCCTTCTTCCACTAACTTGGAATTTTTACCAACCATTACCCAAGAGACTTTTTGAGAAGGAATCTCTTTATTAGGAACTCTTTGTAGTAGCTCCTGATGGACTTTACCCATCAGTTTCTCCAATCCTTCTTGACTGAGATTGCAAGTCTTGCTTAACAAGCATGTAAGGTACCTGTAGTAGGGATTTTTTTTTTTGTTTTGCTAGTGTAGTGCAACAGAAACAGAACTGGGGAGGACAAAAACCAGTTATTTTTCTTAGAACCCACCTAAAAAAGTCAGCTTGTGCTTGCTGGCAATATTATAGATATAGTATATGTAGTCTTAAAATAGGAATAATATTTGGCTTCTGCAGAATCAGTTTCCAATACCTGTGTATGTAATTCTCCACCAGAACCACTGACTGTTTTTTCTTGGCTAATCTGGTCATCCATTAGCCTCAGGTTTTATTGCCATGGACACCTGTATCTTCTTGTGTCACTTCCCCAAGCTGAAGCCTAAAAAGTTTCTTTGTGAGAATGGTGCATGACTGCTACTCATAAGCTCTTTTCAGCTTCATAAAGTAAATATAGTATGAGTAGTTCTTCAGTGCTAGCTTAGGAGCTGGAAGCAAAGAGGAATTCTAGAGTCATAATTATTTTAATATTAGATGAGTTTGATAAGAATTCTGTGGTCAGTTCTTTGTGCATTATCTGTATAATTTTCTTGTATTACTTTGTTATACCAGCACAAAAGGAAAGCTTGTCTTTTACTGGGTGGTTGAAGCATAGTGCTGTTTGTCTTTGAAGCATTGTATAGACAAGGATGAAAGCACCAACAAGCCTGAACAGCCTGAAATCACTGGAGTGGAAGGTTTAAATTCTCAGAATTTTAGTTGAAGGTATGCCAGAAATATAAGCAAATATTGGCATGAATTTCTAAATGGGACAATCTGCTGTTTCTTTTAGATCAAATTGGCAGAACAGCAACCCAAAATTATGGGTTCTAGTTTCAAAGGTGAAACATCACATCCTCTGAGCAGCAGACTTGCCTGTCTGCCAAATGTCATATCCATGTTGGACTGGGAGTGTCCACTTTGATCCAGAATTGAAGGGGAACGGTTTTGGTTTTGGACTTCAGTTGGCACTGGATTTCCTTTACTTACAAAGGCCACGGTATTCTGTTAGAAAATTGGAAAATTTCCGGATAATGGAGAAGACATTTAGGTTTGAGATGATTTCTCATGATTGTTTGAATGCTAGGGAGTCAAAGCCATCAGTGATTGGAGAGCAGTCAGGCTGGTGTAATGACTTGTCACAAGGGCTGAATTTGAGACATGAGCTTGCTGTGATGGCTGAGCCCTTTGCTGCAGAGAGCTGCTGATGTGTGGCAAAGCAGGCTCATTGGAACCATTGTGTGCTGGGTGAGCTTCATGGCAAATGGTTATTCTGCAAAATGAGATGGTGGCTCATTTGTGTGATGTGCTGTCTAGCAAGCTTACTTCTAAAATTCTTAACTATGCTTCATGAGGATGCTGGAATACCACCAGGTGGGCTTGAGGCCTTTTCTCTGCTATGGCTTTTCATTGTCTTCACTGCTATTTTGGAGAACTTCTATTTGAAAGAGTGCATTTTGCAGACAAAGTGTATTTTCTTTAGAACTGGGCCCCAAGAATTGAGCCTTAATTTGTTTTAATTTATATTATCAGTTCCTTCTACTGCATGCTAAAGCTCACATTTTGAGTTGATGGTCATCTGCAAGGAGCAGTCCTGCAGCCTCTGGTTTGGAATGCTTCCACTTAATGTCTCTAAATAGTGCTTCAAGCCTCAAGGTGGGGTAGGTAGAGCCATCTGGGAAGAGACCAGCTTTCACCAGTGGTCATTTGCGAAGTCACAGTCCTTTGCTTTTGTTTTTTGAATTCAGGAGATTTGTTTAAGAAACTGAAAGGAACAAATGAGACCATGAGGGTTCTGTGGTTGCAAATCCAGGGTAGTTTTATCCCATGACAGGGAGCCCCAGACTAAGACTGAGCAGCATTGTGCTGTAAGCACTGTCCCTGTGGTGTACAGGGGCTGAAGGGTTCATTGGCTTTACTCTGAATGTTTTGATGGAGGCATCAATATGTACCATCACATTTACCTCCAAATACCGGGCACGGGTGAGTAAGTATTAGTATTGACTTTGAAAATTAAAGTTGCCTTGGGGATGTTTAATTCATTATTCATTTAGCACAGCATAAAGAGAAGGCTGTCATCTTCTAGCACAAGCTAAATTAATGGCTTAAATCATTAGCATGTACACTGCTGTCTCTTCTAGCAAATACATTAGTGGATGTCATCCCTTTAAATATGGGTTGACATTTTCTCTGTTTTTTCTTCACTGGCTGAAAAACTGCATGGGGAAGTTTCTGTGTCTAAATTAAATATTTGGCTCCACCTCCACTCTGGAAATCGTAGCATTTAGATTAAGGTTTTTCCTGCATTAAAGCTCAGGAGTTTGTTAAACTGGTAGCTGTCTGCATAAATAAATTTGTATGCAGGCTGATAGAGTGCAAGGAAGAAGCTGAAGCATCTTACTGGCTTTATGACTTTACTTTTGGTTATTCATCTACTCCTTCATAGAGTACTGAGAGAGATGTAAATTCCCAGCAACTGCTTCTCTCAAGCTGGGGCCCTGCTGGTGCCTCTGGATCACTTGTGTATGACACACAGCTTGGAGAGAGAATGAGCCCAGGCAGGACTGCAGCAGTGGAGATGACAGCAAGAAGGGAGAATGGTATTTTCTCAGCTAATAGTGTGCTTTGCTTACATTATACGTGTTCCCAAATGGCAGAGTACTCATCAGGTTGCTTTTCTCATGTGTGCACAAAGCAATACCGTGTGTTTCAGGTCTTACTGAGAAATATTTATGAACTATCATCTTCAGTAAAGCTGTAATTTTGACCTTGGAGGATTCCAAGATTGAATCTGACCAAGGAGTTATTTTGTAGGGTCCATAGAGCAGCCACAAGGCTGCAGCAGGACCTTTCTGAGGGACTGGGACCCTCACAGTGACTCTGATCTTTGTTTACTTTGCGTGTTCTAAGATTCCCCAGTGCATTGGTGATATGTGAAACCCTTTGAACTTTGTCATGGGCTTTGGAGTACATTTTTGTCTCAGCCCTTTCATAAGCTTTAGGGAACAAAATAGGCTTTTAGATTTTCCAGACCAGGATATTTTGTTACATGAAGGAGACAGGTACAGTGACCAGATTCACACCTCCATCTTCAGTTCCAGACCTGTTTGTACAAGATTTTTATCTTACAGTGCACCTGTTCTTTTTAAGTGCATTATTTAATAGCCATGATAAACACATTTTTCAGAAAGGGCTGCTGTGGTCTTCTAATGTAAAAGAAATATAAAATGAAGTGTAATAGTTCATGTCTGCAGTGGTGTTCAGTTCTATCTCAGATTGCAAAACTCTGAGCTTTAAAAATTATCATCTGAGAGTACATATGGCTGGGGAGCCTTTGACAGATTTTCCCATCTAGAGTCTAGGGAATTGCTTGGTTTTCCATATGCTGATTGTAAATAAACTGAGAAACAGTAAAGTACTGTTAAATTTCTGCAAACATTTGTGAATAATGTTAAAGTAGAGAATAAAATAATGAGGCAGATGCCCACGAGAGAGATGGAGAAGGACTTTTTACAAAGGGCATGTAGTGACAGGACAAGAGGGAATGTCTTCAAATGAAAGAGTAGGTTTAGATTAGAAATTAGAAAAAAGTTCTTTGCTCCAAGGGTGGTGAGGAACTGGAACAGGTTGCCCAGAGAAGCTGTGGTTGCCCCTTCTTTGGAGGTTCAAGGCCAGACTGGATGGGGCTCTGAGCAACCTGATCCAGTTTAAGGTGTCCCTCCCATGGCAGGGGGGTTGGAATGAGATGAACTTTAAAGTCCCTTCCAACCTAAAGCATTCTGTGATTCTGTGATCTCACAAACTGTGCAGGATGGATCACACTCAGCTGGTGGTCTTTTGAATCAAATAAAGGTAGGAAGACAAAATGAGGGAAGAAAAAAATGGATGTCATCATTCATACATGCCTTGCCCACTATGGCAGTATCAGTTGGTTTGTTCTCCAAAAGTGGGGAAAAAGTTTACCTTTAGCCTAACTAACCATCAGAACATACAAGCAACACTTGCCTGAGGAAGCTAAATGTTAATAAGGCAGTATGTCTGATTTTGGGAATTTGTGAATCAGCTGTCTTATCCTCCCTAAGAAACTGACTGAAATCCATGATTAGGCAGAATCAAGGTCAAAAAAACAATACTTGGATGGGGCAGAGGTGTGGTTGAGTTAGATTTATCCCTGCATTTTGCTTCCTGAACTGCTCTTCCACATGTGTGGCCTGACTCAGAAGTTAGGCAGCTGGATAATGTAGACCTTCACACAACCCCTGGATAACTACAGTTGTCAGGGTAGAGCTGAGATGTTCTGAAGAGAGGCGGGGTGGGGGTTTCTGTTGTGCTCATGACTGCAATGGACAGAATCTCCTTTCCCTGGTGGCCCAGGAGATGTTAGGAGAATACATTCTCTTTTGACAGTTCAGAAATGCTGAAGTGTAATTTGTGGACAGCAAGGAGAACATGAGGAAAATACATTATTGGTACTGAAAGTTTGCATTTGAATACATGTCTCCTTTCCTCTGCTTCTTCAACTAATATATATTTCCTGTCAGCTGAGGTAGTTGCTGTCAGTAACTCACTATGTCTGTAGGAGTTTTTAAGCACATGGTGAAGCATTTTGCTTTTGAGGCCAACACCTTGATTTTTTTGATTCTAAGACCAAGTAGAAGGAAGAAAACCAAACAACCAGTCTAAATTGTAAAAGCAAGTAGATGACAAAAGAGCCACAAGAGCACTGTTTTGAAAATGAATTTTTAATAATTTTACTTTTGCTACCTTCACCAAACACATTTTTATTGCTTTTCACACGTCTGTCTCTTGTATAACTCCCACTGACATTTTACTTCAGCCAGAATTTCTCCAAGGGTTTTGTAGGAAATAGCTTAAGGCTTCTGCATCAATAGGAGGCATATCTAAATCTGTGTACCTTTCTAAGGACTGGTAGCTGCTAGCATGTGCATGATGTTAAAACAGGTTATCACTGAGGTTTAGTAGGTTTGAATGTATATTTCTGAAGGTGCTTAGTAGCTTATTTTAAAAATTGGCCTATTTCTTTGCACAAAGAAAAATGTAATAATAAGGATTGCAAAGTATGAATGAGAGATGCAGCTTTTTTGTCATATGGTGTCCCTCAAATGCAGCCTGGGGCTGGCTGTGATACCTCTGATTCCTCCTAACTTTGAGGATCTGAAAGCTCAAAATAGGTTGAAGTCAGCCGTGGGTTAACATCCTTTTGGATTAAATCTGGAACAGGAAAAATGGACCGCGCTACAGTAATGTATTTTGTTATTAATGGTCTCTAGGGATATTCTCATTTGATTAGGTACAGTTCAGAGACCATATTCAGTACTACTGTAATCACCTCTATGGAATAGTTTAGAGAGACATTCATTATGCATGATTTCAGGCTAGATTGAAACACAGAAAGGTTATAGTTGGTAAAATATGTTTGCTATATCAAAGCATTAAATTGCTGTTTTGCTCATGTAGATAGTTTCTTGGTTAGTCACTTTGCTAGTGAGAAAGAGAAAACTACTTCATCTTGGCTGTTGAATTTGTTTGGGTCTCAAAATGAACAGTTGCTGTTGAAACAAAAATGTACAGAAATGAATGTAAAATAATTTGGGTGCTGCTGGCATTAAAATCTCCCAAGTTTTGCAAGATGACAGTGTAAATTTATGCTAGCTCTTAAAACATAGAAGTATTTAAATACACACATTTAGGTTACATTAGTATCAAATACCCTTGTCCTCATTTCAGCACTTGACTATGCTAGTAAGTACTGGATTGTCACAGTCTGAAGATTTAAATGTATCTTAGACTACTTTGCAACTAGCTTCTACCAAACAGCAGTGTTAGTATGCACTGCATGTTCAAATAATTACCAAAAATTTGGAATGTTTAAATTGACATTTTGATTTGCAGTATTTTAATTATAAACATCCAGTGTGACCTAGTTGCTTTTTATATTTTTAGGCTTTTAAAATTATATTACATTAAACTCTTTATGGAAATAAAAGCTCTACATTTCTGTAGCCCAGAAGAGAACTGCAGAGAGAAGCAAAATTCATGTTTGACCCACGGTCCTGTGGTAGCTGGGTTGATATTCATCTAGATTCTGTGAACTTTTACTGGAGGTTTCCTAGAGTTTTACCATTAGTGTGTTTTCAGCAATTGCTAGTGTACTGTGTAGCAGGAAAGAGCACTTTGTCACCTCTTTAGGACTTAGTTTTGCACAAGGATCTGCAAGGATGAAATGCATATTTATGACATGATCTTTGTTAGATTGATTTTGTAAAGCTTTCTAATCTTGTGTGAAGGTGTGCAGGTCAGCCTGTGGGGTAACAATCAGGAGGCCTGTAATGTTGAAGCAGAAACTGGAATCTCTGGCTTTGAGTTCATATTTTCACTGCTCATACCACCTGTGCCTCTGTTCGTCAAATCAAGGCAGCATGTTCAGTGTTGGAACTGTTGGCTGCTGCATTCAGTGATGAACCTGGAGGTACAGAGACACATTCCATTTCAGAAGGCTTGGTTTAGTCTCAATCCTTTATCTTTGGTGTTTTTCCCTGTTGACAGATGCACTGGATACTGTATGTCTGGTTGAAAGATATATCCTATTCCTTTGCCCCTTGCAGGTCTAAAAAAGACAAAGCTAAAGCGGGAGTAAAACCGGATACTTCTGATCAAGAGCCAGAGGGACTGACCCTCCTGGTGCCAGACATCCAAAAGACTGCAGAGATCGTTTATGCCGCGACCACCAGTCTGCGCCAAGCAAACCAAGGTGAAACACAAACTCTTCCATGAGTACTGTTGCTGTTTATCTGTAATACAGCCATTTGCAGGTAACTTATAAATCAGCATCAAAGCAAGGCAAAACACTTCCCTCCTATCCCCAACCACTGACTGCATTGTCAAAGGTGGTTGGAACCTTGTGGTAGTTTTCAGTATTTTGATCAGAAAACAGAATAATTCAAGTAAGTTAGAGTACACCTCACACCTTCCAGCACAACCTTTTTTTATTATTATTTTTCTTGGCAGAAAACAACAGGCAGGACCTTTAGTTGTAAAACTTTTTCTGTTAAAACTAAATCTTATTAATTGGATTAATTATTAAGTAGATGAATGCAGATGTTCAGAAGACCATCTGGTTGTCTAGTAATAAAAACTAAAGATTAAGTAGCTGAATCAGGTAAGTGCATTTTCTAAAGGCATGTATAATCGGCTCCTGATTTTGGAGAGTCCAGGAATGCATGTGGGAATAGCCATTCACACAATTATATGTAATACTTTCTGTTTGAAATTAAAAAAAGGTAACTTAAAGAATAAAAAAATATTCAAAGAAACAGCACCAGTCATTAATTATTTCTAAGCTGCGATTATGATCTTAATTTACTCCAAGCTTTTCACGTAATGATACACATTAGTGAGAAAAAGAGATTTGTATATCCTAAGTAATGCCCAGTTTTGAGATGTCTCTGTAAAAGAATGTAACCATAAAATGTCAACACTTGCTGTGCTTTTCTTGGGATTACATAGTTAACTACAAATAATGGTCACATTTTACACAACAGAAAAGAAGATGGCTGAGTATTCCAAGAAGGCTGCTGTGAAGCCCAAGCCTTTGTCTGTTTTAAGATCCCTTGAAGAGAAGTATGTGGCTGTCATGAAAAAACTCCAGTTTGGTAGGTTGAGAAGTGTTAATGTGTGTGTTTTAGAAAGCAGACGCTGAAGAAATGTGTGTTCTGTTAAACAGAATCCTTTATTATTTTAAAAGTTAACAACTGTCTTACATACATGACCACTGATAATTTTCACATGAGGAAAATTGTACATCTGTGTTTTCATGTTACCAACTCATGCACTCTTTGAACTAATAATAAATGTTTTAAGCATGCACTGGGGTAATTCAAGGGATCAGATTAATTCAGTGATGTCATGGTATTCATGCTTTCATTACAGTAATGATTTTTTGTGAGTCTTTCAGTTCTCAAATTACGTTGAAATGTTTGATTTATTTAAAGCTCATATATATTTATTTATATATAAAGCTTCTTTTTTTTTAAAATAGAAAATAATTTAAATCAAAATGTGTTTTTTAAATGAAACTGCAAAAAATTTGATTGTGTCCTTTGATGAAGTGCAATATATTACCTTTGGAAAATGTGATTGGAATCGGTCCTTATTTTAGCCATAAAAGGAATGTGTTACCAAAGTAATTCATAAAGAACTATTAGTATCTTATCCAAAAAAGAGCTATAAAATTACTGGAAAAACATGTTCACTAAGTATTTTTTGAGTTGTGGTGACAGCATTTGCAGTCACATTTCTTTGCTGCTGTATTTGTAAGAGGTTTTCCTCACAAGTGTTTGTGGAGTGTATGCCAAGAGTAGGAGTTAGGAAGGTTTGTAGGAAGTGGGAGCATTTCCCTCTGGCAGCTGTGCTGCAGATTTTGTGCAGCAAGTGATTAAAGAAAACCAGCTCCACTGCAGTTTTTCATGGTTCTTCAATAACATTGCCACCAGCACGAGTAAACACCGCTGGCACTTGGCTTCACACAGTTCCATTATTAGCATTATTATATATTTTTAAGTATCATCATATTCCTGGCTGGGAATAGCTGGTAGCTTTCCAAATTGGGAGTGGTGTATATTTGACATATATGGCATATGAAAGTTTGTAAATTAGCTGCAGAAATTGTTTCAGCCCAGCACTTTTAATGCTTTGGTTTCTATGATCACTGTTAACTCACAAAACACATATTTTTTTTGCATTACTGTGATGTAAATTAAACTTTCCTGTTTTTAATGCTCATAATCTTTATCCAAGACTAATCCACTATAAACTTCCCTCCTTTCCCGATGAACTAAATTTTTTTTCTCTTGCAGATACATTTGAAATGGTTTCCGAAGATGATGACGGCAAATTGGTTTTCAAAGTAAATTACCACTACATGTCTCAGGTAAAAAACGCGAGCGACGCCAACAGCGCTGCCAGGGCCCGACGTCTGGCTCAGGAAGCCGTGACTCTTTCGACCTCACTGCCTCTCTCGTCTTCGTCCAGCGTGTTCGTGCGCTGTGATGAGGAGCGGCTCGACATAATGAAGGTAAAGAAGCAAAGCTGCGTTTAGCTCTCTCTTCAGCGTGGCACAGAAGTGTTCAGGAAGGTGCCTGAAATCTTAGGGAAAAAACAGAAATATTTCATGTTCACTTTAATTGCTGTCCAGGTATTAATGGCAGTGGTAGTATCAGAGTCTGATTTCTCAGCAGCTTGGCAGGGGAAGGGAGAGCCCACCTGGCCCAGGTTGGCCAAGGAGTCTTCACAGAATGGGATTCTTTCTTTTTCAGCCAGCTATTCCAAAGGGAAAAGTTTAGTGATGTTGCTCCATTATCTTCACCTGTGACTGTTGAAGTTGCAGGCAGTAGGTGTGGAGAAGTACACTGAGAGCTTCTGGACCTGTATTTTGAAATAAACAATCTAGTAATACATCCAATAGGAAAGAGTTTCATCTCTTTGAGAAATGAGTGTTTGCAAAGGGCTTTGCTTACCCACGGTATCAGAATGAACAGACTGACAGCCTGTGTATGATTATGACATTTATTAATAATTCCTGCTACTCAGCAGGTGGAAATGAAATGATTCATGTAACTTAAAAAATCTCAACTGTGTGATAGATCCAAGGGTGGGGATTTTAAGTGTTCTTTTTTTTTTTCCTCTTTTTAATGCTGTAGGTTCTCATTACTGGTCCAGCAGACACCCCGTACGCAAATGGCTGCTTTGAGTTTGATGTGTATTTCCCACAAGACTATCCGAATTCCCCTCCACTTGTGAATCTGGAAACAACTGGAGGCCACAGCGTGAGATTTAATCCAAACCTCTACAATGATGGCAAGGTAGGTCAGCTGGGATCCTGTGTTAGATGTAACAAAAAGTGAAACAGATGAAAGTCGGGGGTTTTTTTGTGATGGAATTATGGATCAGCCACTCCCAATGTACAGGAGGAAGCTCTTTGGTTAATACTGGTCTTCAGACCAAAATGAGGAGGGATTTGCCAGTTTCAAGTGGGAATTAGTCCCTTTCTAAATAGTCTCGCAGAATTTTGGAGGTCCAGACTTTATGAGCTGGATTGGACCAAAAAAGCAAGTACTTTTGACTGAGAAAAATGTTCTTTTCCAACATTTTTTGCTAAATGAACCAGTCAGAAATCTGTTTTGTCTAGCTGAAATACCCTTTCCATGGACAGTGTGCTTCATATCAGCTGCAGTTGAAGGTTTGCTGAGTGCCTTGTCTCATTTTCTCCATTTACACTCTATGAATGTGGACACAGAATATAATTCCTAGTTGAGACTTCATCTCCGTTTTTCTTTGTCTAGTTTGAAGTCTTGGAAAATACTTCCTCTAAGTTTTTTCTGTTTGTTTTGTCTCTTTGTTTTCCCTGTTTTGGATTGTTCCATTTCACAATAAAATTCGAGAACACCATAAACTTCCCTAAAGTTCAGATCAATCACAAAAGTTAAGGAATAATTCCAATTTCTTGATAGTCTGGGTGTCAGAAACCACCTTTTTCATGCTTAAGCAGAATGACTGTCTCTAAAACGCACAATTACAGGTTTTATAACAGTATTTAAAGCAGAAAGTAGAGAATCAGACAATATTCATAATTATTTTTTTTTGAGCACTAGAATCCATAAGTTTCCTGTGAGAAAAAGTAATCTGCCTTGTGTTTTATGTTTATTAGCATGCTGTTTTTGCTTATCCACAGTATTTTTATCTCTTTCTCTTTCAAAGTAGTCTCATGGTCTTAAGCTACACCAGGGGAGTTTGAGGTTGGACATTAGGAGGAATTTGTCCCCAGAAAGGGTGATTAGACTTGGGAATTAGCTGCCCAGGGCAGTGGTGGAGTCACCAACCAATCCTGGAGGTGTTCAAAGGAAAGACTGAACCTGGCAGTCAGTGCCATGGTCTGGTTGACGTGGTGGTTCAGTCACAGGATGGACTTGACAACCCCTGAGGTCTTTTCCAACCTCATTGATTCTGTGACAGGAAACAAATTTGTCTTTTAGAATGCTGTTGTAAAAAAGTTTGTAAAAGAATGAATGTAATGTCAACATTCTGTTCTGTCCAAGTAGAACAATTTTGTCATAATATTTGTCTGTGGTACTAATAATGTTACCTTTTCAGGTGTGCTTAAGCATACTTAATACATGGCATGGGAGGCCAGAAGAGAAATGGAATCCCCAAACATCAAGTTTTTTGCAGGTGAGCAATTCCTTCTTTCTCTTCAAATGTCATTTAGGAGTAGTAAGTTGTCTCTTAGTCCTAATGATTCCTTTACTAGAACATTTAAACCAGAATAATCTTCAAGTAAGCATAAATAAAACAAAAGTCCAGAAAATGTCCTTGGAACTCTAGGAGAGGAACACTGCTGAGGAGACAGGTTCTTCAAAATGCTCTTTCTAATGAGTTTTTCTGTTGGTCTGGTCTCAAAGAGCAGATGTTCATGTGTGCAGTTCATTCCTGCACCAGGTCTGCTCAGATGATTTCAAATAGTTTATTTTATTTTCAAAAATGGAAAAAAAAATAAAATAAAGACTGGGAATCCTCCCAATTATGAAAAATTTATGAAAAAAAAAAGCTTTATGACAAGCTTTTCATGGTGAAGACAAAGGAGGCTCCACACTGTGAGAGATGAGAAAGTGAAGTGCTCTAGTGCAGACTGTAGCCTTCCTCCTCCTAAGTGTGCAGGTGAGCTGAGTAGAGGAATAAAGATGGAGGGAATGGAAGTGCAGTGATGCTGTGTTCAATAATAATTAGTGTTGCATTAGACCAGAAATTATTAGGGCATGCAGTCCTTATCATTTTCAGCTTTATTTCACAGACATGCACTGACTCACAAGCAAAGACATTAAGTAAAGCCTGCAATGGCTTCTTTCCTATGGCAGTTGCTGAATTTATTCTAAGTTTGGAGTAATTATTATGTAGCACAAGGTACAATTTCTGCTCAAAATCCTAGAAGACTGCACAGCTTCAGCATAATAGAATTACTGCCTTCAGCAGAACAGATTTCAGCTTGTTCAGGATTTGGCCTTGGAGAGCAGATTCATCGGTCTCCTAGAAGTTCAAGAATAGTCTATTCCATTGTGTGGAAGTCAGGCAAGTGAGGCAGAGGGCCAGCATGGGTAAAAGAGAATTCTTGCCTAAGCTCAGCTACAAAAAGAAGCAAGAAAAGGTGGAAGGAGGGGATGGACTACTTGTGTGAAATAAAAGGACATTGACCAAACATTCAGGAGAGAAATAAGGGAAACTAAAGCTCAGATGGCACTGATGAAACTGTTGAGGGTTATAAAGATAACTATGAAGAGCTTTTCATAATTAGCATGCTGGCAGCAAAAGAACACATTTTCCTTAGGCTTTCCAGCTGCTCAGTGGGGCAGGAAACCTATTGACAAGGGCATGGAAAAGGCAGAGGTCATCTCTGCCTCGCTCTTAGGGGAGGTAAGACCTGCTTTCCCTTGTCCCTGAGCCCTCACTAGGGTTGTCTGTGAGAATGAGGAATTACCCACAGTAGAGGAAATGGTATTGAAGCTGCTTGGACTCACGTGTTCATGGTACCAAACCTCATGAAGCCAGGGGAGCTGAGGGAGCCAGTCAATATCAGTGCAAAGCCATTTATTCTTACCTTTGAAAGGTACAACAATCAAGGGAACTTCCTGGCATATCTCACAATCAGCTTCAGTATCAGAGAGGGTCACATTGGGATAGGTATCCAACACTTCCTTAATGAGTGCAAGTCTCTCAAGATGCAAATTCTCCTGATTAAGAGATGAACTGCAGTTTTGGACTTCAACTATAAAATCAGTGTAGAAAGGTACAAGTATTTAGGAAGTCTTGCCTTCACTAAAGTCCTTTTTCTTACATTAAAACGTTAGATTTGATTGTTAGAAATCATATGCAGCATGAAAGTTTATCATCTAAAACTTCTTTTCAGTGTTTCATTTTGAGAATAGTAAGAAAACTATTGGAAAAAGGCCCATCCCCACCACATTGAGAGAAAATCACTTTACAACTATTAAATGGAAAACAGCTGTAGGACTAAATAAATTGCTTGGAAAGAATTAAGCACTACATGTTTTTTCTGGCTCAGAAATTGAACTATTGCCAGACCACCCAAAATACTTCAGAAATTAATTTTTATTACCCAGTAAAACTGGAAAATCAGTGTAGAATTTCTCATTCATTACAATTATAATTCAAAGTATTGACTGCTTATTCAGGCCCAGAAAGTACAGTGCTGCAGTGTCAAATTTCTCTACCATAGCTGCTTAAAAAATATATAGATATCTAAGATACAATTTTTTTAAAAAGCAAAAGCCTGTTCTTCCAAAGACATGTAAAAGCCACAGACATCACCAGAACTCCTTTCATATCCAAAGCCTTGGCCCTGAAGTCACTCTACCGTGACTTAGCACACTTGCATCATATTCTGCCTTTGTTGGTATCTGTGTGGCCACTTGCTTCATGAAACCTGATTTGTGAGGCACATTCTGTGTTTTAATACATTTACCTATATTTTAAGGTTTGACCCTAAATAATGGGCTTGCTTGTAGTCGAGTGCAGGGCAGGTACAGGAGACTGTGATGGTGCACACAGTACCAGCAGCTACCTGGAGCACCTGGCAGAGAAATATAAAAACTTGGTTAATTTTCCTTCTCAGTCCAATGAGGGATGCTGGTTCACATCTTCCCACTGCACAGCTCCATGTCCAATCCATCAGGATAAAGACTTGGCTGCCCTAGACTGTCCGTCTGTGTTGTAATGAAAGCACAGCCACTGCATAAGGGCAAAGTGCCATGGCACCTAAAGGAGTGAGGGTGTGTTCCTGTGAGGTGCTGGTGGGACTGAGGATAACCTGTGTCATTCAGCTGGCTCACGGACAGCTGCTTTGCTAGCTGGCTTTGCTACGGGAGAAGCTCCAGGAGAGTGCCACGCTTGAGCACAGAGCACATCTGTGGATGTCAGGGCACTGCCTGTGAAAGAGTCAGAGTTTGGATTGCTGCTGACATGGTATCTATCTGATGTGAGCTGTACATTCTGCATCTACCAAGAAATAGGAGGGTTCTTGTCCTCCATATCCAAATTCACAAATTAGGCTGCTGAATTAGGGAATGTTTTAAAGCTCTAAGTTGTACCTAGGATGGGAGGAGAATCAGTTCCACAAACAGCTGCCCTGACATGTGGGCATCTGCACCTAAGAATGCTCAGTGCTGGAAATGACATTCCTAGGTCTGTAACATATCATCACCTTTTCACTAATTGATGAAATATAAATGTTAAAATCACCTTGGTTGAATTCTTTTCAGTTCTGGAAGTTTGTGTCACAGAACTCTAATCCCTAAAATTGTTGCTGGTGGACTTGGTCCTAAGTACATAAGAAAAACTTGCCCTCCAGTTAGTAAAATTCCAAGTTGATGGGGACAAGTTTTTTAATACTGGAAAAACTAGCAAGCCATCAAGTCAGGAATATGCATCTGCATTTGGATACCTAAGAGCCCAATGTGTCTTTAATTCTTTGGGTTTTATTAGGAATAGCTGAGTATACAGATAAATGCCTTGAATTTATGTCAGCATCTCTTCACATGTGTGCTGGATAGTAAAATCAAAAGGAGGAAAATAGTTACTTCCTAATTACTGAGTAGTTGTTGCTTTGGTCATACAGTACTGAAAACATTTTTTTCCCTTAAGAAAAATACTGAGATTTTGTTTTATTGGCATATGACACAGTATTGTTTGTAAAATCTGAAACTAAAAGGGCTAAGAACATTCATTTGAAAGAAAAAATGGGAGACATTGTAGATCAGGGTTAATTTCAGTGGTTCACATGGCATTTTACCTCCTTTTTTCTTTTCCATCTAGTTCAGAATTAGAAGAATTAGCGAGCTTAGCCAAAGGGAAAAAATCAAAATTGTTGACTGACAACTTGACAAATACACTTTCTTTCACAAAAGGGCCAATCAGACACATCTTCCTTTAAAAACTTTCTTTTATTTATAGCTGTATGTTTGTTTTGCAGGGTTTTAAGTTACATTTGTCATTTTCTCAGCTAAATACACAGCCACAGGACTCGGTGGTTTTTGTGTGTAGTGACAGTTTAGGTTTGAGAGCATGGATGTTCCCTGCTTGCATGTAGCCTGGATCACAAATGGAAGGACTTTGCTATAGAAATGGTTTTGCTTGTAAGGTGAGCAGAGCTGTGTACATTTATAAGAATACTTTGGTAGCATGATTTTAGCATCTGGTTTCTTCTCTTAACAGGTGTTAGTGTCTGTCCAGTCCCTAATACTGGTGGCAGAACCATACTTCAATGAACCGGGTTACGAACGATCGCGAGGTACTCCGAGTGGTACCCAGAGCTCCAGAGAATATGATGGAAATATCCGACAGGCAACAGTCAAGTGGGCAATGCTTGAACAAATGAGAAATCCATCACCATGTTTTAAGGAGGTAGGTTTTGTGAAAGGCAGTAATTCTCTTTATTGAGTGTTAAGAATAATGCAAATATTTGGTAAGATCATGCATGAAATGTCTGTTTTAACCTGCAGCAACTGACTCAAGAGACTGAAGTGAATAACAGTGCACCAAACTTCACAGATTGTTTTCTGGGAAACAGGAGTGCAGGCAAAGTGGGGCTGACCTGAATGGGATCTTGGTGCACAGCTGGATAAAACATGGTTCAGTCAGCTTGGCTCACTCTTATTACTGAACAGGATCTTTTCCATGACCTGTAACATCTGTTGGTCAGCCCTACCAAGGAGCACTCCATGATCCATACTCTGCATAAATAACAGGCAGTATTTTCTCAAGGATCATCAATTTGAAGCAAATACTAAGAAACACTTCAGATACACCAAGATAGTGCAATTTGGAAAAATGCCTTAAAAGAAATCCCACAAAGCATCTGCACTAGAAACCTGCGTATTTGAAAACAACTGTCTTGATGCTGCTAAAAGCAGTACTAACCTTCATTCATTCATGCTGTCTTAAAAAAAATAAATAAATCAAATTGTTTAATTTATTTACATTCCTGAAAAGAGACTAAAGCTCACCTGTAGCATCACAGAAGTTATTAGTTATTTAGTTATTAGGGATTTCTCTCAGTGTCTGTAGTCCAATTCCTTTCCCAAAGCAGATGAGTTAGATCTCAAAGGCTTGAACATATACAGCAAAGAATGCAAGGAAAAAAGGGCTGAAGAAATACTAAGAGAATCTGTATAAATATTAATAGAAAATGTTTGGTCAAACATGAGTCATCCCACAGTACTCCCAGGGAATATTTCCAGAAAAAGACATCTTGCGCTGAACTACTACAGCTGTTGCCAGTGTTGAAGCTTGGAACCATCTGGAAGTATCACCTATGCTTTCAATTGTCTGCATAATAAAATGTTGAAAAAGCCTGATTGTTTTAGGATTATTCACATTGCTGGGTGTGACATCTGAGATGTTGATCTTCTTTCCTTGATGTCGTAAAAAACACCATTTGGAATACAAAACCTTTTTTCATTAAAATTACTGTGTCTTGTGGAATTAGAAAGCATTGACACTTTACCTGCACTATAAGTGTTAGATATTTTTATCCACATGCAGGTGAAAAAGTATGTGCAGTGTATGTAGGGGTATTGAATTAATGAAATAAAACCTGGTGGTGGTTCAGAATTACCTCTTAAATGTTCTACTCAATAAGTAGAAAACCATGATAAAGATAATATGCAGACACGATCCAATAACTTCTGCTAATAGGTCTTTTTCTTCTAGCTAATGTAATGGTTTCACTTTGGCAAAAGGTGTTCTCAAATCACAGTAAGATTAAATTAATTTAATGTATTAGAAAGCAATGGGCCCCCTGACAATAATGCTCCATGTTTCTTCTCACATGTACAGAAGTGAAGGATATGCAGTATTACACCATTTGGTAACTGAATCCCAGCTTATTGTTACTGCACTTTCCTTTAAGAGTCTCAGTAATCGTGTGCTTACTCTGCAGCTCAGCTTTCTTCACACTGCTGGTTTGAGGCAGCTTTGGAACAGTTCTAGATTCCATCTGCATCCATCCAAATGGAAATGCATCTCTAGGATTATCTGAGCACTTCTTTGGGAGATTCCCTTTTTGTTCAGACCTTTAGGTTTTTTGTAGGGTTATCTTAGAAACCTTAACAGTGATGATCAATTCAGTAACACAAATGCAAACTCATGCTGAAGACTGAAGCCTAAGAACGTGGGTCCTGAGAGCTGTTGTCTTCAGAAATCTGAGTTGTTTGTCTTCAGTGTCTTAAATGATGGGTAGGCTCGGGAGATCTAAACTGCCAGTCTTTGGGAGTTTTTCCAAGCTCCATTTTGGATTTAAGGAATGTATCCAGAATTGAAGTCAATCACACTTTCAATATGCAGTTCCTCTGATAGCTATTTTCTCTAACCTCCAGAGCGAAAAATTATTTTTCCCATTATGTTACAATATGGCCAAGAACTCTCAGAGCTCAATATCATTTCTTTGGTTTTATTGTTTCTTTCACCATTCAGAGTTTTAGAAAACTTTTTAAGACAAAGCCAACACCAAACAGAGTTTCACAACTTTGTATGAGCGTTGATTGTTTGGATTTTTTTTAAACTCACATATGTACTTCAATACCAAAATTACTCTTCAGTCAAATACTGGCTCCCATCCAAACTGTGGCCTGAGAATTCCTGTGTCCCAAACATGCTGCCTCTGCCTAGAGCAAAGTGGTTGCATCCCCTCTGAAGCAGTTTGTATGATCCTTATCTCTGCAGAAGCACATAATGTTCCTGTGCTCGTACTGCCAAAAGTGTTTCTGCTCATCTGTTTACTTTTGGGGCATCTCCTGGTCAGTGACAGGGGAGGATGTGGTGCTTCTGCTTACTCTGTGCTTCTCTGGCAAAAAGGGGCAGGGAAAGAAACGCTGAAAGCCTCAGCACTGTCTCTGTGCAGCTCTGCTCCTGTGCAAACCTCGTGCCTGCGTAGTACATCCAGCTCTGAGCTGCAGAATGCAAGCAGCACTCCGCTCTCCCTTTTGCTTTTGCTCGGTGTGTTTCTGGCACGGGTTTACCCAGCTAACACAAGTGACTGCTGAAATGGCAGGCTGCACACAAACAATGGATTCTTACAAACTTTAAGAGATATCCAGACCAACAAACTCCCCAAAATAGCATCAGCTGAATTCAGAACAGGTTCCCCCAGGGCTTTTTCCAGTTGGATTTTGGAAACCTCTGAGGACAGAAATTCCAATTTTATCTCCAACCTTGTTCAATTCTGAATTCTTCATACAGATTTTTTTTTTTCCTTATATTCAGTTAGGCCCACAGAGGTCTTGCAAATTTGGTATTGTTAAAGTATGTGGTTCTTCCATCCATGTTACATTGGGAATGTTTTCTTGCAGGTCATCCACAAACACTTCTTCTTGAAAAGAGTGGAGATCATGGCTCAGTGTGAGGAGTGGATAGCAGACATACAGCAGTACAGCAGTGACAAACGGGTGGGCAGGACCATGTCCCACCATGCAGCAGCTCTGAAGGTGAGACATTTATAACAAATCTGGGTTTCCCAGTTGTCAAGAGATTAAATGTGTGTGTATTCCACTTCCCCAGTATTTTTACTACAAGTTGGATTTTCCTTTAGCACCTGTCCTGCCTATTTTTCTGTGAATATTTGTATAAGACACAGTGACCCCAGGTTCAGTTCAGTTGGTTGGAGCATGGTGCTGATAATGCCACAGTTGTTGTGGGTTTTATCCCCTACAGGCCATTCTCTTCAGAGTTGGACTTGATGATCCTTGTGGGTCCCTTACAACTCAGAATATTCTGTGATAATAGCTGTTTTTGTTCACTCTGAGGGTGGGTGGAGGTACATGATAAAGTTGTGTTACAACCAGATCCTTGGCAGAAAACAAGCTCTTAGAGTAGACGAGCAGTTAATAAACCGTGGTCTGCTACAATCAGTGTTATCCTGTGTTAACTTTTATCAAGTTCTAACCATTATAAACATTTTCTGCCTTCCTAGACAAGTATTACCATTTGTGTGTTTTGTGACTACACAGATAACAGGTCTATATTGTTTTTAATATAAGGTTTTATTTCCCCTGAGGTGTAAACCCCAAATTTTAGAAGGCTTCTTTTTCCTATTGCCAGACATCCATTTTTTCAGTGTGACTGGTCTTCAAAATGAAGTTACTGTGATCGGTAGCAAATCTGCATATCTGTCTCTGTGACAGGTCTCATCATGAATTCTTTATAAATTTAGTTTGACTGTATGACCTACCAAGTCCAAGCCAGTTTCTGCTGTGACCCCCAAACACAAATGTGACTCAACTTTGAGACCAACAGTTTAGCATTTAGAGTGATGCACTTGTTGGCTGCAGTTCTGCTGACTGCCCTTAGGACTAGCCTTAGGGACTAGCAAAGTCCCTAGCAGCTCTTGCTAATTATTCTGTCACTAAATGGAAAGTAGCAGTCCTTAAATATAGGGGAGAGGTTGATCCAGACATGGAAATAGTACATTTAAGCCTTTTCTACCTAATCCTCTTTTTGCCTTAGAGTGTCTAACCTTGTGAAAAGTATTAACTGTGGTATAATTAAAGTATTATTTTAACTATTCCACACTGACCTGTTTTTATATATCCAGCGTCACACAGCTCAGCTGCGGGAAGAACTTCTAAAGCTTCCCTGTCCTGAAGGGTTGGATCCAGACACCGATGACTCTCCAGAAAAATGCAGTGCCACAACAAGCTCAGAAGAGACCATGTTGCACGACCAGGTTAAACCCAGCAGCAGTAAAGATGTCCCCACTGATTTCAAGTCATGAGTTGCATTGACATGGACTTTGTAGACACAACGGCTTTGAAGCACAAGCCAAATATGTCAATATTTGTATGTAAGAAGTTAATTATGTAATAGGTAATGAAATTGAAACTATACTATGCCCTTAAGGATATACAGTTTAATTAAAAATGATCTTTTATTTACCTGTACAAGAGTGTAAACTTTTTTGTGCTTTTATTTTTCAATTGTGAGAACCACTGATTGGTATGTTTAAAAAGTTATGTATACAAAAAAAATGGATAAATCACTGATATATAAGGGAAACTACCTTAGGAAAGAATGTTTACTGAATGTTTATTATTTTTTTTTTTACTTGTAGAGTGAGGGCGGTTGTAACAAAGAATATATATTGGTCATTCTTACAGCTACTATTTAAAGTCAGAAAATTTTCACTGAATTTGATAGATTTTACGTTTGGCCATATATTCATGCTCATATTTGATTCTAAAGAAAACCTCCTGTATACTTCAATAAACGTTAAATGGACATGATCCCTCTTTTATGATTTACTGGTACATTTTTTAAATAAACTGCCATAAAATATGTTCTAGCTGAAGACTTGCACTTGTATGACTGAATTCATTACAGTCAACATACTTAATTTTATGCTTACTAAATCTAAAATGCAGATGAAATAAATGCACATGGTTTTACCTCATGCCAAATTTGGACTTCTGAATTAGTTGGGTTTTTTTGGCTATTTTATGCAAACTAACAGTATTCTAAATTTTTTAAGGGCTATTCTGGAACAAAGTCTTTACTGTATTGAAATGTCTGATTTTTACATACTCAGCTGTACTCTTACGTACTGACACACCACACAGACGCCCATGTCCTGTTAGTTCCTGCTGTGTAGACTTACTTCCAGTTTTATACTTGCAGCCACAGATCCCTAACTAAAAGGGTAAGCAGTTTACTTGATTTAATAATCAAGTCTCACTTTTAACATAACATGAATTGCTATCATTGTTACTAATTTTTGAGCAGTCCTTGAAGGACTAAAAAGTTAATACTGGTATTACCTCAGACTAACGATCTGTGTGTATGATAAATACTATAAATCAGGCAAAACCAGACATTTTTTTGTTTTCTATTTGTTCTTTGTTTATAAGTATCACGCTGGAATTTTTTCACTTTTTGTTTTACAATGTATTATTTCTAATCATTAAAAATGGCACCAACTGAGGTTGTGTTCTTATGCTGATGGTTAACGGTTAGTTCTGATACTGAAGAGCAGTTTTTGCGTTCTCCTGATGTGTTGTGTTAATCCAAGGCCTGTTCTGATTGTACATACCTCTCAAAATACCAGCTTGGCTACATCTGTGGAACTTCAGGGGTCCTTAGTCAAAGAGCAAAACAAGCAGCCCTGTGGCAGAACTGCTGGTAAATACATGAAACAAAGAGCTTATGCCACATAGTCCAAGTGTTAACAACTTCATCAGGGTTAAGACAACCCTGCATTTTTCCCAATGGGTATTTACTTACCTTCTATTACTGTGCAAAATGACTGTGATACTCCTGTAAAGGCTCCAAAAGGAGAATTACCCACTGACTTCCAATTATATTTGTTAGGAGTTTCCATTAGAGTTCTTCATTTACTGCTTAAACTGTCTGCCTACAGCCACAGTCTTTTTATAAAATCCTGGTACTTGTACCAAAATCAAATGTGTTGAACCCAAACATCCTTTAAACGTGAAGACTTTTTCTTTACCATTAGAACATAAGACTGAAACAAAAAGTACCCATCTTGCATTGATTTGACATGAGGAAGGTGGTTTAACATGATTGTACCTTTATCTCCGGTGTGTATTTATGGTTTCATAGCAATGCTAATGTGAAGTCGCTGCTGCTTAATTAAGCAGATGTAAACAGCTGCATGGGATATTAAACTCTAATTTGCATCTACATACCAATTATCCTTTTTTTTGCTCTAACATGGGCTAGAATGGTATTGTACAAAATTAATGCAGAGATTCAATCCTTAATAACTTGCAACTGTGTTACAGTCTAGTAAGTAAACCGTGAACTTGGCAACAAATACAAAATACACATTGTTAGGTTTTTAAGTACACAAGGTAGCTATGTTACTTGGCAGTAACATCACATAAAATAAAACAGTAAAATGCTGTGAGGCGGTGGTAGACTCATCTCTTACCATTCCATCAAAGTGAATAGAAACCTGTACAGTCTGATTACAGTTTCTAACAGTCCATTCAGGTCCTGTGTTTTTAACTGTTAAGCTGATTTTGTAGAAAATGTTGTATAATTCAACAGAAGTTATTTACAAAAGTGCAAAGGGCAGCAAGCTGCTAGTTAGATCATTATGGAATTTTACTCCAGGTTTTTTGGTGCTGCCTTTGGCCCAGGACTGACTGTTGACACTACAGTTCTGCAGTGTAGCGTGGGGTGTTACCAGGCATTGGAATTGCTGTAGCCACTCTGCCAGAGGAAGAGTGTGGCACCACAGGGTAAGGCAAGAGTGTTCCCTGTCTGCTTCACAGACAACAATTCCAAGCTTTTCTGACTGTGTCACTGCAACCACAGTGTCTACAGAAGAGGAAACATCTCGGCAATCCATGAGACCTTGTGCTCCATGAGAGCAAAGCCTTTGTCCCACTGATTGCTGCACATGAACGACTGTTCTGTTCTGCAGCTGTAGCCACAGCCCTCTCCATATACAGCCAGCAATGATGGTACCTCTGCAGGAACTGTGATGGCTTCCTCTGGAATTTCCTCTGGGTAAAAGATATGCATAAATGTATGGATTAATGCTCCTCTGTAATTCTGCCACTCCTAGAAAAAACAAATATGACAATCTAGAAAAAAAGAAAAACTAACCAAACAAAATTTGAAACATAAAAGCTGTAAACAACTTCCAAGTTTCACTCCAGTAATTACATGTTAAATGTTTAGGTAAAAGCAGAATAAAGTACATGTGACTATAGATCGACTGGATCTGCAGTGACCTGTGTGGCACTGTTGGTTGGGCTGTGTTACTGTTTTTCTTCTGTAAATCTGTTCCATAAGCTCAAGGCAGATACTGTGCACCTCTGCCAGCCAGGTGAGGAGACTCTCCTGCTGACACAGGTAAAATCCTGCTGACACAGGGTACTATTTTTGATGGCTCTCTCAAATAGGGCATTCACTTTCTGGCAGGATCACATTGTTGAGAAAACATGACAACAAAATGGTCTTTTTTTCCAGCTATGTTATCCATTACTTTTCTTCCCCAAAATGTTTCTGATGGCGCTTGTAAGAAATTTTGTGTCGCACATCCTGAGGAAAAGCTTGCATAAGCAAGCAGCCATATTATTAATATGTCTTGTAAACCCATAAATACCAGCACACAAACCCAGCTGACCAACATTTAAGCCAGGACTATACTATGTTATTCTGATCCCTGTGAAGGAGAATTATTAAGGCTTAGATTTTTAGTTGGAGTTTCTCAAGCAGGCCTTCCTCATTTTATAACTCCATGCTGCCTTTGTGTTAGTGTGATTTGCAGGTGTTTCCTTTTCTATTTCTCAAGAAGCCAGTCACCCCCAAATGGACTCACCTTGGACTGCCAGCTCTCTCTATAGAAAACAGAAATTAAAAGCATTTTACAGAAGAAAAGTGGCAGATTTTCATTTTTCTTGCCATAAGGAACAAGTACAAGGTGCAGAAAGTATTTCAGATCTCAGGATTTTTTACCAACACACATGCATATCTATCCATGTATAAATGCATCTAGTCTGTCAGTTATTTGTTTTGAAAATATTCCACAGACAGTGACAGGATTAGTAGGAACAACAGGGCATTTATATCTCAACAATGAGCATTCTGAAATGCACTGAGCTGAGCAAGGGTAAAAGCAAGCTCCACAATTACAAAAATGAATCACAGGTAGAAACATGTTAATTCTCCAGAGATTTGCTTGTTGCCATTGTTTTATTCTCCAAAACCATGCGTGCAGAAAATACATAATTTAGCCATTGAAGTACTATAACAGAGTTCCCAAATAATCTCACCACAGGCTCTGTTTAATAAAGGCTCAGAAAACAAATCCCAAACCACAGTTCTCTGTCTTGACTGAGAGAGTTCTGCATATTGTGACCTGTCATGTCTGCAGGCTGCAATCTCTTCTCTGGTCTCACCTCAGTGCCCAAGTTTTGGCTCTCAAAAAATAACCTGGTCTGCTTAGTTCTCCAAGTGTATTAATGCAACTTACCCTTTGCATTTAGAGTGCAAACGTGAAAAATTAAAACAAACTGAAAATCTCATGATAAAAAAACCACTTTCTGCCATCTGTAAAGATTCTGTGTTGTTTCTTTAAGGATTTGCTTATTTACCAGGAGAGCAAATGGGAAAAGCAAAACTTTGGGGGGAGGGTTTTCCATATTTTCTGATTTCATTAAGATATTTAAACAATCATGTGGTTCAGAAACAGAATACCAACAGAAAATGTCTTACAATCTACTCCTAAGCAATGGTTTGGATGTCTCCAGAAGTCTTGTTCTCTCACCTTGAAATTCTAGGTTTTCAGCCACAGAAAGCATTTGCCCATACCTAAATGAGGAATAAGCACATTAATGCAAATTTCCAGAACTTTTTCAGTCAAAATGTCTTTGTTCATGCCAGAGTTTTCAATAATAAACTTATTTCTATAGTATTTTAAGCAAAAATAAGTAAGAAGGTGGCTTTAGCTGGATTCTGGTGCAGCACATTTCTAGCCCTGGACTACAACAGCACCTCTTTACCACTGCAGGAGGGGTACCAGTGTGGTGACTTCAGGTTGTGACAAGGCCACCATCATCACGTAGGTACAAGCAGCCCAGCCAAGCACCAGCATTCTCGCATTAGAGAATCGAGGGTGCCAGATCCCTGTGCACAATGGCTGGGAATGGTCTGCAGGATGTGAGTCCCTGCCTCCATGCTGGCTATAGCTACAGTTCAGGCTGTCCTGCAAACCTTGCAGCTGCTTGCTGGCAACATAGTGAGGCAGTGATTCAAGAGGGAACAGAGGTGACATGGCACATCAAAACCTGGCAGCCAGCAGCAGGATTGCTGGAAAGGAAATGCTGTGCTTGCCAACAGGGCCCATCTTCTCAGCTACTAAATAGTCACGCTGCAAATCTCAACTGTATTTTGAGGCAGTTTCAACCAGAGAAACTTGATGTGATAGATTCACAGGGGCTGGCCTCCAGCAAAGCAGCAGTCACAAGAGAAATCATGCGACCATCTGGCTGGCTGAATTTTGCCATAGCGTGTGGGATTCTGGAAACGTCCCAGAGCATAACAGAAACCTCAGATGAGGGGAAAAAATCAGATTCAATTCTACCCTTCTCCCAGTTGCCTCATGGTCACTAAAGGCAAGAGTGTGCAGGCTTGTCACACAGACGCTGAAACACTGCTCCAGTACAGGTCCCTGGGAGACTTCAGCACCAGCAGCATGAAGAGACTGATAGACACCGTCTGATCCATCTGACAGAACAGGGAAAACAAGTTGAAAATTACATCCAACTATTGGTTTAGCTCCATACAAATTTCACTGTCAAGAAACCAAAACAAATCACACTACAAATATACACTATGTACACTCAGACTGAAACAATTGCTGTTGATGAGAGCAAATGGTGACTGAAGCAAAGGTAAGCCGAAGAACAAAATATCCTTTTTGTATCTGCACTGCCTACTGATGTGTTAAACCTCCTTTCACTTGTTTCTAGCTCTCCCTCCAAGGAAATCTTTCATGTTAGAAAAAAAGTAGCCAGACGAACAAACACACATCAGGGAACTGAACATCAATAACTTGTATCGGAAGAAAAACCAAGCCATTTGAACAAAGAATGGGAGAACAACAGTACATGGCTCCTGATAAACAACAGTGTAAGTCAGGAAAATTCAGTCTTGAAGAGCTCTCAAGAGCCTGTACTGGTAGTCAGTGAGGGACAGTGCTGAAGTTTCTAGATTACATATAGAGAACTGCAGTAGAAAATTCAGTGCATGCCTAATGGAAGGTTTGGATCAATCATTTGAATAAAAATAACACAGTTAAAATGCTTGTTGTGATACTGCTGCCTTCCTGAAAATGTTAGTATGACTTGTGTATTTTTAATCACTACCTCAAATACATTTTTGCTTTACTTTTAAATGCATTTTCATGCCCAGAATCAAACAGCATGGAAAGTTATTTTCCATTGCCAAGTGTGCCCTCAAAAACAGTTGTCCAATCAATGTCGCTGAGGACAAACCATGACTGTAAATTCATCCAGTTTTTATTTTTCCCTGATGGTTAATTTTACACATTTCAACACACTGAAAGGCACCAAGGCTCCACTGAGGCAGGAGAACAGTGTTCAGTGCCCAGCATCCATCACAGCCTGGGATTAAATGTCCAAAAGCAAAGTGTCATTGATTTTGTATCACACAATGCAGAAACTATTAATTCTCAAATATTATATCTTGTGACTGATACAAAGTCTCCATGCTGATTAAATTGCCAGTGTTCACCTCTACCTTCGCTTTTCTTTTAGCAGAGTGATTTTGTTCCATAAGGCCCCTGGAAAAAAAACAACACTGTTTACTTTTTGCCTGAATTTAAGTTTTTCCATAGTTGAACAGCTTTTGCCTTAATGGCCTTTGGGTTTTAGTTCAGTTAACATATGTAAATAAAAAAATTCAGAGTTCTTATTCAGCATCTTCTTCTCAGCTTAGGCCTTGGTTTATCACTTATTATTTATATGATATCTAAGGAAAAGTACAGCTCTGTATGAAGCTAAAGGAAAAGTTTCAGGTGTCATTTTAAGGCATGTATCAGAAAAGATGATTTGCTCCCTGCTCTCCTGTTAAAATACTATTTCACCATTTCATATGACCGTTCTGTATTCTAAGTTCTCTGCCCAAAGTCAGCTGTGTTGCAGAAT